CACACACGTACACATGTTATATATAATAATATTGACTTTCTGGAATCTCATCAAAACTGTGACTCTGTTCATAGAGAAATTTACAACTCACATCTTGGTACAGCGCAATATTATCCCAGTCAACTTTGGTGGCGAATTCTCGAATGAAAGACTCGGACAGCTTCTGATAGCGACTCAATATGCTCCAAGCACCTTCACTGAAATTACCCGCCATTTCTCTGAGGAATGCCTCGGAAAATTTGATACGCGTTAAAAGTTTTTCCCAGTTAACTCGGTGAAAATAACGTCTCAACATATCAGTTGAAAAATTATAATGTGTGGAGAGCAAATCCCAATTTATGTACCGATCAAATTTCATAATAAAACCATCTGTCATCACCCCTTCGGGTTCTTTAGGCTCCTGAGAGAGAATTTCCCACACCTGTTCAGCCATGATCCGCACAGCACAAAGTCAAACTACAGACTGACACTAGAGAAAATATTTGATTCTTTTTTGTGCCGTGTGCAGAGCACACTTTGAAAACCCCCCACTGTGTTGTGGTAACAAACAATTTACATGGTTATCTTCTCCCTCCACCCCCTCTTTACCCTCATCTGATGTTATTTCCAGAACATTTGGATGAAAGCGCTTTAGGAATGTAACCTTTTCCAATCCTTTAGTGTAGATGACACTAAAAGAAGCACATAAATTACGTATTAACCCCTCATCGTATGGAATTGTTCCATCGTCCCAACGAATACAATGGTAATGACGTGTTAGCCATCTATTTGAACGCCTAGTTTTTTCGTCAAGATTGCGCAACACATATGGAGGACGAAATATAATCTGACAGCAGAGTGATTCTGCAACTATTGCAAACTCTTTTACAATAAACGTGTTATTGTTGTCTTTGAAAGCGTGAAATTCAACAACTGCTACTGGTAAACGGCCAGCGCTTGAACAACAACAACTCATTGTAAAGTGATGTTGAAAAATTAGGCAGAGATGGGGGATTTTCCGTTCCCTCTTTGTTGTTTAACACCTCTGTTATGAATTCTCTAATATCGGCCTCGCGAGAAAACAGCTCCGTGAGGTGAATGTGCACGAGCGGAAGGCTATTAATAAACTGGACCCATTCTGCGTTGTTTAGTGCCAAAGTGTGTTCCCCGCCGTGAATGAATACGTGTTGTTTGCCAAATACCGAAATAACCTTCACACTCTCACCGGTGACGAGTGAAGTGTGGAATTTTTGGCCGAGCTCCATCGCTGCTGTGACAGCGTTGAAAGCTGTCACACCGAATTGATTGAATACATCCTGTGACCAATACACACTTCCTTTCTTTGATTTAAACAAAACGCCAATCTGGTTGTCTCTATTTTTGAATACCCCCGTAATTACGCACTTTGTCACATCGTGGTCCAGAAAGAAGACTTTTTTCAAAAAAATACCGGTCAGCAGGTTTATTCCCTCTGTAGGTTTAGGCACGGTTTCTATACTCACCTGGTCAGCAACAGCTGTGGCAGTGGCCACGTCCTCACTCGACGGCTCCATCATTGAAACTGAGAGATTTCGTAACGTTCACAGGTATCGTACCCCTCAATGGGGTTATTCTCTAGGGGGTCTGAAAGCGCGGGCTTTGTCACTTCCGGTACCCGTGTGTCCAGTAGTGACCTTCCTAGAATAATTCGGACATTATAGGTGTCGGGGGCGACATTGACATCGATACATCTTTCATTTAAACTAAAAACACCCAATTGTATGGTGAAATCGTATTTCAACTGATAAACGCTGACAATGTCAAATTGGCTGTAGAAACTGACACGCTTGAGAACATTTTCAACGCTACACGCTTTCCTTAAGAGATACGATCCGGGGAACGTTTCAATCCTTATACGGTCAAAGCAGGAATAGTCTGCGACGTGATAGTTTAGCATGCCCCCGTCACGGTCAAACGATCTGCCGTCACTGATATTCTGGCCGTTTTTATAAAGCGATACTAACACCTTCGCGAGTCTATTCGTCACATAGTCTTTACAAACTTCAAAGCTGGCTTGAATCACCTGTACATCGTCCACTACCTGTGAGGCCATCTTAACGACTGAGACCCTCATCTGCCTCTGCCTCCGCCTCCGCCTCCGCCTCCGCCTCCGTCTCCACCTCCGCCTCCGCCTCCGCCTCAGCCTCCGCCTCCGCCTCCGCCTCTTCCTCCGAATCCTCCTGGTAAAACGAAACGTACTTTTTTCGATCTCTCAACTTAATCCGCACACATTGAACATTGGCAACTTCAAGATCAGGTAGACTGATATAGTGACGGGGTATGTCGTCGTCGTCGTTGTCGTCGTCGTCGGTGTCATTCTCTTCATCGTCATTATTTAGCATACTGTTTAAGTCAAAAGATTCTCTATGATAATCATCTTTATCGCCATAGACATGTACATCCAGCGTGTCATACTTATGGAAATCAATTAATAAATTAATCAAATCCACCGCCGCACGAGACATAGCAAATTCTCTTATAACTTCAAATTCGATTCGATCAAACACTCCGACTGTGGCGAAATCCAAACTCAACAGCCTGCCGTTCCAATCTATTTTACGTTTTAACCTACCCTTTTCAAAGAGGTTAACATAAATCCACGCAATGTTCTGCCACTTTTTTTCTTCCATGTTTATCAGACAGAGACCAGCTGTAGACTAAAAACTATACAGTCACCTTACTTACAGAACCGGTGAGTAACTTATAGGTCATGTGACTATCGTGTATTAAGAGACAGTATGCTGTAGTGCTGGCGGGAACCGCGTTCTTTGTTTCAAAATCCACTCTCACGTCTACAGGTCCCGACTTGATTGCATCATTTTGTTTGGAGCAATCGACTACGTATAGCGGGACATTGGCGTTGAACTTTTCCATTGTGACAGCGGTTTGACCGGTAGACTGTCTACCATAATATGATTCTAGAAATCGACAAAACATTTCGTAAAATAGTGTTTTATCTCCGTTAATGTTGTCGTAGGGGAAATATTGAGAATTCAAATACACCTTGATGTTTGTCAAGTCGCAGTGGTCAAACGAGGACATGTCTTTAGCGTATTGATTTTTCCTATCCTCCTGAAATGCCAAAATGACATATCGAGGTTTCTCCAATTGTGCTGATGTTTTAACCGTCCACGAGTGTATATTAGTTTGTGGCAGTGACGGGTATTCGTGAAGCTCCCAAGACCTAAAAGGTATATGGACCGTGGTGTCCTTTTCGATCATGCGCAACATAGTAAGTCGGTAGGAGTCGGAAACGTTCACATGAGGAACACGCCAGTACACCCCTGTAATTGTTATAGAAACATCACTCGCGTCATTACTGATTACAGCATTTTTATCTGAAGCGGAGCGCAGAAGCACCAACTCCTGTTTGTTATTTACAATTACACGTCTGTAGTCCTCAGCAAAACCGAGTAAAAGTCGTAGTGGAACGGAAAATGAAAACTCTTTGGACTGTAATTTCTCGCCAGGGCCTAACCAGCAGGCATTCTTCAACATATTCACCTCATGGGGTCTGATCGAAAGAACATTTTTCATAGTTGTTGTAATACCGACATTCTTTGTCCTATCCACTTCAATACCCGCAATCTCATAGCGTATTTCATCAAAGAAAAACGCCACCGCGTTATTCACGAAATGCCACGGCGCCTCTGTTCTATCAGTTTTTGTACTTTTAACCGTACCCTTAACGAGCAATGTACTCTCAAACGGTGCTGTAATAATATCCTGTTGACTGATCGGTATTCGGATCTCATCGTTATTTTTAAACGTGGACGACGCGTATGGCTTGTGAGTGTGAAACTCCATGCCGGTGATGGCATCACTGTACTCTGCCTTTGTGTTTATATCCAACATTTTCAACCTTAAATCCAAGAGACCGCAAAAACTTAACACTCGACGATGTTAACCGTACAACGTCTTTTGGCCTACTGATGTTTAGAACAGGTAATATGTCCCTAAATACCAGTCCCATTGTTCTTTTTTCTAACGTGTAACCTAACAGACAATCTTTCGTTTCTGAGATTAATCAAGTTGCCGTCTTGATCGCGCAGAGATATCGACACGTTGTTGACACTTGAAACGTTCACTGGTAAGTAAATTATTGTGTTAGGTATCTCGACTATTTTATACCCTGGACCTACATTTGGGTAAAATTCGTGCACCGTATGACTTTCTCTACCGTTATCAAACGATCCACGAACAATATTACACTCGACACGAATAACATCAACTTTCATTATGTTGACTGTAGTATCGGATACATGTGTTTTCCCAGCTTCAAGAACTCTATTGGAGAAGCCTAGCAAGGATCCGATTGAATCGCCTTTAGTAAAATCAACACTCTGTGAGCAGAAAATTTCCGAACGTAAGGTGCTGTTGTTAGCTGTGAGCTTAAATTCCACATCCTTTCCCAGTTTCGCCTTTAAAGTAGACTCTATATTTTCCACCTCATATGCCCCTTCATCAATACTGACAACTCCCGCTTTACCATAGTAAAACTTGTTATTTATTCCAGATTCAATGTTGGGGATTGAATGAAAAGTCATTAAATCCACAAGTCCAATCTCCCACTCACCATCGCTCATGTCAACAGGTGGAAAGTATTCATTTGTAATATACGATCCACGACCGCTTAAGCTAAACATTTTTGCAGAGAAACTCTAGACACAAATGCCCGCAAACAACTGAATCAAATGATTGCACTCTACGATAATTATAGAAGACTTCACAGTTGGCAAAGTACTGCAACAGTTCTAGCGGAGGTTTTAAGTTGCCAAAACTATCAAAATAATGCACCCGACTACCCTCTTTTCTATAGCACACCCAATGTGTGCCTTCACCCACTGCCGAATCTAAGTTTACAATAGCAGTCTCATTTAAGTTAGGTCGAACAGGTAGAGTGTCTCTCATATACACTCCGCGAAAATGAGGGATTTTCAGTAATTTCGCGTAGTATTTCAAGTCGTAATTTGTCAACGGTCTTAGCGGGATCCACGTTTTTTTTTCCTTGTATTCCGCTTTTTACGTTTAACTCCACCCCCTCTAGGGTAGGGACGTAGATACAATCCTCTACCTCCAGGTGTCTTTCTCTTAACTCTACGAGTCGATTGCTTCTTCTTCCTCTTTCCACCACCAAACTTTGCCTTTGTCTTCATCGCTGTAGTTACTGCCCAGGCAGCCGCCTTTTCTCCTACAGACGCGTCTGATGATTTAAATCTACGCCAAGCGCGTTCTGCTAGCTCCTTATCTGCCTGTTGTCTGTGCGCGTTATCTTTGTACCTCGAATATGCGATATCGTGCACCTTACACGCTTCGTCTAAACCGTTAATACCTCTATCACCTCTGGCTAGTCTCTTTTTTAACCTTGTTCCAGGTCCACAATAATTATAACCCGGCAGGTGAGCTTCAAAAGGTAAAAGGTCCACAGCTTTGTTAACAATAGAAGATATAAGACCTTCTCCGACGACGGCTCTTTTGCGTCTGACCGATGTTATCCTCTTCCCAACCATTTTAATACTGATTGGAATGAGATATTTTAACTTGTCTTAAAAAGGTCGTCCCAGGTTGCTGTCTCGTGAACAACCTGCCCCCTCCATTCGTCATATGAGGTTAGACTCACGCGTTTCGTCTGATTCATCTGTTTATACAGTGAATAGGCTAATTCCGCGATAATTTCTTTGACGTACTGCTTGTTTACAGCATCGCTCAATGCTTGTGGTTTACTAACATTCGCTATTCGCCTACCCTTAACATCCCAGGATTTATCATTATTAGGTAAAATTGAATTACGTTGAAGATATTGTAGGGTAATCGCATCATGAGCACTTGATGGATCAGCGACATGACCTAAACGTTTATCCTTAAAGTTCCATGCTAATGAGCCTTGTAAAGGTACACGGTTGTCCATGTACAATTTATTTACAGCATCTCCCGCTCTACTAGGAGGTGCCAAGTTTTGGATAACCGTATTTTTTACATCAAAAGCCCCATCTTTATTTTTAACTAAGGCTGTGCTGTTTAGACACTGAAGATTTACCGCATCCGCGTCTTTTACCGGCAGTGCTACGTTCCGAATAACTGCATTTTTTGCATCAAACTCTCTCTGTACACTTTCTCGTGTTATAGCGTTTTCTTTAAGAAACAATAGATTAACTCCGTCTCTATCAGCTTTCGGCTCTGCAACGTCTTGCAACCGGTAATGGTGTATTGAGTATGCTTTTGCATCAGTCAATTTAAGCGGCGTATGAAAATCCATATACTGCTTAGACACAGCATCATTAATACTAACAGGGTCAGCTATATTACACACACGGGTGTTTTGAGCATCAAAATGACCACTTTGCCTTGTCATACAGTTTAAAAGTGATTCCGCGTGGGTTCTAAAATTAATCACATCAAAATTGTCCTTTGGATTTTCGACATTACACAAACGTTTACCCTGCATATCATAGTTACCATCTTGAGTCAGTGCAAAGCCCTCGCCCTTTGGCCCGACAAGAGCCTTTTCCTTTTTCTCGTAACGTCCGAACTTGTCTACACCCATTGTAAAAGTGATTTGTATCTACTATTGCCCGCCCCTTTTATAAACCCAGCTTCACGTAGCTCCTCCACAATATTAAGGATTTCATTACTATGAGACGTGTTTCCAGACTCAGTTGACGCGGTTAGTAGTTTCATTCTGCTTACAAGTTCATTAGGGTCGTCCCAGTGAACAATATCCCGAGATGTAGCAGTCTTCCAAGTCATGCCCCGGCCCTGTTTAGCGGGAAATAATTTTCTAATGACGTGTTTGTATTTCAAACTATTATCCCTTCTTATTTGCTTGTAAAAGCTGTATTGTTTTTTGTGCGCGTTTGTTGCTACTAATATATTCTTGTATGTCTGCAGGTCTTCACTATTGTATAGATCCTCATCGGGTAGTCGTTTGAACAACAATTCGTATAAGCCGACTGTAGGTTGATATTTTGTATTATTTATAACCAATGACCCGTCGCTGTCAAATTCTAATTCTTTATCACCAATCATTAACTTATTGCCGTCACTATTGTAACGGGGACCATAATCATGATCAATTATTCGAGACTTTCCGCCGGCATCTGCCATGAGTAGTTTCATATATTTCCGCGTCAACGGGTTTTCAAAATGTTCGTCGACATATCGGGAAGCCGTTTCCAAGCCTACAGGTGAAGACACAACATCATGCAACCGGTTCGGTGTCGAAACGCCAGTAGGTTTAAACGATTGGTTAAAGTAATTATCATCATCGTCCCCACTGACATAATCCATTGCTTCTTCTCCTTCTTCTTCTTCTTCCCCTTTGACAGCAGACATTTGTTCAGCTTTTATTTGAGGCTCAGTTTTTTTCAATTCTCTGATAATCGGTCTATACTGCTGCTCTAGTAATCTTTCATTTTCAACATTACCATCTTTAAATCGTCGAAACTTACGTCTTACCGCCTCTTCTAGTTCGGCAATTTTCGACACAAGGTCTTTATTCTTCCGACTCATCTTTGCTACTGAACTATCAACCAACAACAACAACACATTTATGGCAGCTCAACCTGCCTGAAAAACATTGCGCGTCTCTTGTGTTTACGCAAATAACGAACCACATCCTTTAACGAGATACCAGATGCTATATTGATACCTCTGTAGTACCTCTTAGTGTGTGCATCAAATAGTGGTATATTGTATCGTGTTGACCAACTTCGAAAAACAAAAGTCCTTTTCCACCCTCCTCTCCATTGTGGTATTTCAGCCACAGTGTATCTATCATCACTGTTATCCATATATTTTTGTAAAAGACTCATTGGCCGTTGAGCCTGATTGTGGTGTAATAGAAATGAATTTACGAGCCAAAACTCGCTAGGATTTGCGCCTGTAAATTCTCGCCACTGATCAAATAGTGCTCTATTAGTTATTGTATAAACACCGTCACTACTAAGACTTATACCAAAATGGTCGCAATAGAGTGGTAAAGTTGGCAATGCCGCTTTCAAAAAATCTGTAGTAAAAAGTCCTTGGCACAGGTTGTTTGCTGCTGCATAGCGCTTACCCCGAACCCCAGGAGGTAATCCTGGAGGCACTGGACCATATGCTACATTATAACTAATGTCAATATGACATTTAGAAGCTAATGCCGTCTTATATATTGTTACGGGGGACCTTATTGGTAGTGTACGCTCAGTTAATACTATGCAACGAGCGGCGTAAGGGATTTTACACCCATATTCAAGCATTCTCAGATAAATCTGTGTAAAGTTTATGCCGCCATGCCGGTCTCGTAGAGGTAGGACCTTTCCAAAAATATCTGGAAACGGTCTGAATCGCGATAACATATTATGAGATTCGCGTACAGTACAGTTTGTCATATCTTCGTGGTAGATAACAAGCTCTAGTGGTACCTTTTTTTCTTCGCATTTTGCTAAAAACTTAATCCACAGTTCACGGTTGTAGGTGCGTTCACTAGCAGATATCATAAGTAAAATTACAGGAGGCAGTGTGGCGCTTTGTTTTGCAGCTTTATGTCGCCAGCACCGCCGGTTATAAGGATGACCATGACGCCCCTTTCTGCTGCAATAATTACCGCAAAACTTTCTCCTATCTGAATAGTAAAAAGTGCAGAGATTTGATTTAACATTATGAAGTTTTGTGTCGTAACCTCTAAGATCGTTGTACGTATAGATGTTTACCATTGTAGTTCAACTATAAAACTAATGTGTACTGTACAAAGCATAGCACTTTTACATAACACATACCCCCCCCACCGCTATCACAAATCCTCTACAAAAAAGTCAAATTTCAATCTGTACCTCCCTTTGTTAATATCACGAGTCTTATCTATTACCAAAAACCCATGATTTTCCTTCCACGCTTGAGCACACAACCCTCTGAACTTATCAAAGCTCATATCAGTGTTAACATGATCAGTGTATACATGTCTTAGATTCATATCATCCTGCCTGAATAGTATAATAAAGTTACAGTTGTCTCTCACCAACTGTTTAGGAATCTTACTGTACGACTGACCAAGATAGAATACATCAATATTCCTATGTCTACCCATTGAAAAATAGGACCGGATGTTGTTGTGCTTTTCACATGATATATCGTCAAATATCATAACTGAATTCGGCTTAGCTTCGCTTGGGTCGACAATTTGTTCATTGTCATTGAATGCAAAGTATCCGACTTCTTTGGGTAAAGCTGACGAAAGAAATTTGTATTTCGGCTGATAGAGGGATTTTGAAAACACGTAGATATTTTCAAATACTACACCATTTGGATCGAATATAAGATTGAATAACACGTTCGTTTTTCCCGCATTTGAAGGACCTGATATAATACAACGTACTGCTTCCGGCAAAAGGGGCCCATTTTTATTAATAGATGAGCTCATACCGGTACCAAAATATTCATCAAAATTCCGGACAGAAATATGAGATCCTTGCTCAGCTAGTCTCATTGTGACACTGAAACTTTTCCTCTCCTGCTTGAACTTTAAATAACACCTCACCGAGGGATAGCTCTAAATAAGAATATCGCTTTTGTTAACCCATGTGTCGTCTTTACCATCAAAACCCAACCAGCGAACTAGCACTTTATCCCCTTTACGTTTTATTACTTTCTCCACAAGATATACATCCCCAGTCTTAGATATACTCAGCTCAGCCTCATAAAATCCGCCCTTAAGGATTTCCCCTTTAGAATCTTGTAAGATATAAGTAACCGGGTGGGTTGGCTTTATTGCATATATTTTAAATACTTCGTTTGTCCAGTTAGGCATGTATCCTTTAGTGAATACCCGCTTGTATTTGCTAATTCTCACAGAATCGCCGACAGAAAACTTTGGTTTGGCAGCAGCAGCAGCCGTGGCACTTTTATGACTACTATTTATTCGCGATAAAATTGCTTTAACATGTTTTTGCCTCACGTCCTTGGGTTTCATTCCTATAGTTCTATGTTTTGAATTGTTATATTGATCAACGAGCTTCTGCAGAATAGTTACCCACTCATAGCTCCCCTTTGCTGTAAATAACGTCCACATTTTTTGTTTTATTGTCCTGTTGAACCTCTCAACAATGCTGGCCTTGAGATATGAAAATGTCGCATAATGATTAATTTTAAACCTGCTGACTAACGCTTTAACATCCTTGTTGAACCATTCTTTACCCTCGTCGGTTTGTAGATGTTTCATTTTATGTTTTAATAATATCGGCTCTAGCACTTTAGCTACTTCAACACCTGTCTTGCCTTTAAGCGGGATCGCAAAAGCAAATTTAGTGAAACAATTAATCATAGTTAGTATATAACGATAACCTTTATTGTATTTTGCATACGGTTGCATCTCAACTAAATCCGCCTGATAGAGATCATTAATACCTTTAAGAGTCACTCTACGTCTTGGATAATTTCGGCGAGCGGGTTTGTGCAGCTCTTGAGCTATTACTCTCCTGATGTCCATTTTGAAATGACATTTAATTTCGCGTTACAGACTACTTTATTTAGAGCGCTACAAAAAGGGGAGAGCATCTGTGTCGCAGTTGCGAGATGGGCTTCAATTTGTTCTGTTGTGTTGTTATATCTCTTCCGCCGCGGTCACCGCCTATAGTTAGAGCCGCTCGATCGTACAGAAAACCGAAACCTGACAACGAGGTCTCTAGTACAATACACCATTACGAGGTAGTAGGGCCTGCACAGCGGCCACTACCGCCACTACCGCGACAATAGGTGAGTTTATTTTCTCTAAAAAGGATGTCATAGCCCCTCCACCGCTATGACACGTGAAGGCCTTCCACAATCATTATAGTTGCCTCCTCCGTGCGGTATATTTTGTATACGCGGTGACCATGTGGTGACCGAGCACCTCATTAAAGACTTACTATTATGTTGTCTCAGTAGGTGACAACCTCAGTTACACTTGTCGCGTCAGGATCTATATTTAGACTCCCCACTACTATCTCAGTAGGAGATGCTTCACACCATATGTGAACGTGGGAACAGTGTGTAGTATCATGTTAGCTCTACTATTATATATACATAGTGTTTGTAAATCTGCTCTTGTGACTTTAATTGGAAAAGATAATCAGTGTGAAAAATATTACGGGCCACGTGTTTGTGTTGTTCATCCCACCATAAGAGAACGATCGAACTCTTCTGGTAGTGCTAGTACTCTATGGAACTTTGGAGGACCTGCTGAGTGGTCAAGTGAAGAGGAGGAAGAGGGGGAAGACTCTTCAGAAGAGGAATTTATTTGGAGATTACAAGGTGGAGGAGGCTGGAATGGATGGCGAGATTATTAGCAAGATGATGATGATTGATTTGGTGAGTGATGTTTCTTAAAACCGTACGGTAAAGTATCATAGTCCCCATCTCGTTTACGCTTAGGCCCCGTAATCTTAAAACGTTTCGTTTCCCAAACAGTCAGCACGTCCTTACATTTAGTTCGCCTAATTCTCATCTCTGTAACCTCATGCATCGGATTTTCACTTGCTGACAAGACCATTTCTTTGAGTTTTTGAAAATTTAAACTTTCGCTAGCTTTTAGGTTCAGAGTCAGTCCTTTGATTTTACAAACAGAAACAAGATTAGGTCTAACGCCTTTATTAGTATACACAACATAGGCATACGTCTTAGGACCTCCAGAGACAAAAGCAATAATAAATGAACCTGGTCCGTAGTCAGTCAGCTCATCAGTCATCTCACCTAAATAGTCACCAGTAGGTACTTTATGTAGATTATCGCTTAAAAGATATACAACACTGTCTGTATCGTAGTAGATTACCTGTGCTCCTAAGGCCTTAAGATGCTCGTACAGCTTCAACCGTGCTTGCGCTGTCGTGTATGCCGCTATAGCCACATTCACCCTACGCAAAGAACCACCCACCTCCTCTATATTTTGCCAATTTACCAACAATGTATCTTGATTGATTTCCTGAATAGTATTTACCTGAACAGCAGGGTTAATTAACATATTGAACAGAGTCTCAGGATCTCGCACAATAGTAGCCTTTGTCTGATTTTCTCTCTCCCCAAATTTTCCCCAAAAGCTGTTCAACATTAATTTTGCTAGTGATCGGAGACCGCCGTTCTTTTCAATTTTCAAAGGATCCAAACTGATTCCTTCATGGTCAAGGTACTGCCTTATATATCTATTTTTGTCCTCGTCAGTTTGACACCATTCTGGATATCCTGATGCTTCTTGTTTCATTTTCAGAAATTTATTAATAAACTCTGTAAATAGGCCTCCTTTTTCAAAAGTTGCAACACCATATTCCCAGAGTTCATAGTACTGTAGAATATTATATCCGTTCTCTACTGCTACGCGGATCTCATCCATTACCCATGTTCCTACCAAGGCTCTTTCGTCATCAGAGTGATGACAGGTATCCTGGTTTGTCTCCTCACCACATTTTCTGCAAAGTACAAACATAAGCTTCCCATGCATTCTTGAAGGAAGAACCGGGTGATATAGATCTACTGGAGGAAGGATTTTACATTTCAACAAACCCTCTACAGACAATCCTCTTCCCCGGCATTCTGCATCTCCAACATATACCGTCGGATGGCCTACAGGGTACTTTCCATACTTACACACATATGGGTACAGCGAACAAACATCTACATATTTTATTTCCTCACCAGACTCACACTCATGATAGGTTTTTGTGTTTCCTGTACGGCCACCATAAAACGCGTCTCTTGGAATCAACGGTACATTGTTTAAAACCGGGTGGTTCTCCAAATAACTAAGATTCTCTTGTTTCTTTAACACAAGAAAATCACACTCCCACATCTCTATCACTTCATATAAAGTGTTGGCTAATCTGTCCATTTTCTCTTTTGTCTTTTGGTATCTATTGTTAAGCGTGTCAGATGGGTCATCCTGGAGGCGCTCGTCACGTTTGAAAGGAAAGCATTTTTTGCAGCCGTGAAAGTAGCACCCGTGGAACTCATAAATACGCTCTCCATCAAACCCATCAACTTTATAGCCATCTATAACTGTCTCTCTCTCCCTACCAGCATGCTGTATTCGTACATTTCTTTGCATCTCCTCGTAGACTAACCACTGGAGAGCTATAGATGATTGAGTGTCACCCATCCTATAGCCTTGCTTAGGAATCAGTCCTATTGTATTTGGTTTGAGAAAATTTCTCCTAAACGCAAGATTACAAGCACTTGCTATTGTCACAGCTTCTAAAAACGGGTCTACATTGCACTCGGTCAATAGTAGGTTCCTAAATTTAATGCAGGCCTGTGCAAGAATGTCAACATCAGAAATACAGTATTCCACCAGTTCTTTTTGAAAATCAAATGTATAATTACTGTTTACCTGCTCATCATACCATCTCTGAAAGTCCTCATGCGTCTTTTCAAACATTGTATCAGGGCAGAAATATTCTCGAGGTGGCATTGGTCCTTTGTAGCTCTGGTTTGCTAAGCTATTAAAGAGGTGGGGAAAGTAACCTTTCTTCTTCTCAGGTGGCAAATCAAAAGCTTTTGGAAGGGCTGACAGAGGCATTGGAAAATAGTTAAGGGAATCAATGAAGCGCAAATTATCAAACTTCATTAGAACAATCTTAGATCCGCGCATAATCAGTTCAGGAGTGAATTTTGTATTTTCTAATACATATTTAAGAACAAATTGAAAATCAAAGCCCTGACCATTGTGTGCAATCACACATACATCTTTATAATGTCTCCTTAGAGCCAATACGTAGTCCATAAAGCCGTGGACAGGGTCATCTAAAAATATGCGGGTCCTAGCTTCACATTCTTCACAAGGCGGCTCATTAATACATTTATGGCAGAACCGTTGAGAGACACAAAGGTTGACTCTATGAACCTTTTTATCACGCTCAAACTCTGATAGGCATTCGTCCTGTCTTGTCTCAAAATCAAAGAATATGTAGAGAAAATCTGATGTTTTTGGTTTTCTAGTATCTACTTGCATATAACACTTGTGGTTCGCCTCTTTAAAGTCCATACATATTTGACACCAAACCTCACCACAAACATAAGGAGCTTTCCTCTTACTCAACCAAATCAGTTTGGTACACTCTTGACATTTATAAACTGATTTACATATACTGTTCTGATGAGCTGTAAAACAGAGCTGATTTTTAAAGTGTCTATTACACTTCGGACAAAGTATACCATTATATTCTATCTTACATGGCGGAGATGTTATCATACAAGCTGAACAAATAGTTTCACAATGATGATCACCAGCTGTGTTATACGGGACGTGACAGCCTTCACAATAGTAATTACAAGCAAAAGCACCGGTCAGATTGGTAATCACATTATAGTGACCCTCATGAAACATAAGGTTAATTTTATACTTGGCATTCTCCGGATCACCTGAGTAATACACTTCACGCCCCTTTCTGTCATAATTGTATACGGTTATTTGATACTTTTTCAAATGAGATTGGAATTTTTCTAATTCTGTCACACCCGCTCCTTCTGTAGGAATATCTATTTGTGTTTTATCCAACAACTTTCTAGCTTTAAGGTCCTGACGCCGCCCCTTATTTGCCCTAATCAATGTCCATTCAGGGTCTTTTTTCGCGTGAGCCTTTGCTACTACCAAAGCTCGTGGAAGGCACAGATTATCTTTATTTTTAATTACCACTATTGATTTTCTTGATCGACACTCCTCGTCAAAACTATTAAAAAACCCTGGTCGTCTACGTCCACTGCCTACAGGTAAATTAACACGGGTACAGGTGATTTTAAACGTGTCACTAGATTTAATTATGTCGGTATTACTTTGAATTATTCCCCCAAATATTTCCCACAGGATCTCTCCATTAACCTTATCAGCGGGTCTAAACGCTACGTACCCGGGCTCACTTTGTTTTAGATTCAAACTCTGCAGTGTAAACCCGAGCTGATCAGTATCAGACGCTTCAGATTTAACCTTATCAACCAATTCATTAAACCCATGCTTCAACCACTCAAGCTCATTTGTATCTTTAGGCGGATTATTAAATTTAAATGTAGTCCTAATACCATACAACCTGAATCTTTTAACATATGTCTCCTGTGTACTTAACACCTTAACAACTTCCATTTAGTTAAGTATCAAAACACATAGTGAAAAATAAACAGTATAATATAATAGTGTACTTAACACCAGCGGCAGAATAGTATGATACGTTAAAATAATACAATACAACACAAATTTTAATAAAACACTACTACCGGCATAACAGCGTAAAGAATAGAACAGTGAATTAAATGCTAAACTCACCTCAAGTCAGGGAAAGACACTGAACAAGACTGATTTCTTAAAATAAACTTCCATCCTTTTATAAGACAACAAGCGGAAGTAGGCCTTGGCCTCACACCAAATATGGCCAAGCATCAAAGTGACACACAATACGCATATCATGTCCTCGACATTATTAGCCAAAACATTTTAGTCACGATTGTGCTATTATGCCCTCGACATTGTTAGCCAAACATTTTAGCCAAAATTGTGCCAACAATATAACCTATTGCAACAATATAACAGGGTCGCATAACAATGCGACCATATATATTCCAATTACGCACCGCCGCGCGAGCACGTCCATAGCCTCTGTCGCCGCGCGATCACATCAAGCACGTCCGAGGTCGCACGTCGCCGCGCGATAACATCTAACCCAGAGACACGCATATTCACAGTAAAGCCTAGTCAACTTAAAGAATATCAAACAGTCACAGCAGCGTTCAACCATCAAATGGATATTACTCCACAACAGCACTGTGCCACTGATATATTCAGTTTGATACCAACACATATTAATATAACACACTATCTGTTAATTAGCATATTGGTTTAACCGAATACTGTTTTTAGTTCAGTTGTTTAAAACCCTCTGCAAAATAACAGTTAGAATACCCCTACAAACAATACATAAGATTTATTTACACTGAATTATATTAACCGAGCGGGGATTTTTGTGGGATATTTGCACAGGGATCCCGGTGCAGGGATTTATCCCGCTACCACCACGGAACCAAACTCGCAGGACCTAGTGGTGAAAATCAGAACTACACACACCACCCCCGGGGGCGGCAATCACCTAGCGGCCAAAATCAGAACTCCGTCAATCTCTTACACCGCACAGCGAATTCCCACAGGATTTTTTTTCCCACCATAGACACGCGGGACACCTAGCGGCCAAAATCAAAACTCCGTCACCCCTCTGGTGGCCAAAATCAAAACCAAACACACCTAGCGGACAAAATCAGAACTCCATCACCCCTCCTCTGGTGGCCAAAATCAAAACCAGACACATTAGCTGCGGCGGCGGCGGCGGCGGCGGCTACCGCGGCAGCTATCGCCTCCATATACACCCTTACACTCTTGTCTTATTAACTACCGTTGTAGCCGAGTGGATAGCGTACTCGCCTCTCACCCAGGCGCCCCGGGTTCGAATCCTCAACCCGCCCAAACACTTTTTATCCTATACACACACACCTCCAAGTCTATTATACCACCTTACACTCTTATCCTATTAACTGCCGTTGTGGCCGAGTGGATAGCGTACTCGCCTCTCATCCAGTCGGACCGTGTTCGATCCCCCGAGCCGCCAAGTACTTTTTATCCCATGTCCAAATATGGAGCTCCCATAAGAGCCCATGTAAGTTCTATCTTCGCCCACATACTACTTACGTCATAACTTAATTGAGTAGATAGATACTAAAACTTGTTTTAATTTTCATAGTTACAATGAGTTTAAGCAAACCTTGCTAATCCAATTTCATCCAACTACAGTCATTTTATACCAGGCAAAAAATTTAAAGTAGGCATTATATCATTTGTGTTCTTATTCAATAAACTTGAGCTACTACACCACATTTATATAGAGTATGTAGACTTGACATAAACTAAGACTTAAATAATTGATTGTAAAGTATTTACGATTAAAGGGTACGATAAAGGGTTTGACAGATTTTAAAAGATTTAAAACCAGTTTATTCAAATTGTTGTCAGATAAATGCTGCTACAAGATTGGGGACTTTTTCAATTAGCTATTAGTATGTCAAATCAATAGTTAGTTGTAATGGTTGAACAGTAAGTAGTTGTAGGGGAGAAAGTGTATATAGATTATAGCTCTTAATTAATTAGTGTTGTAAATTTGCCAAATGTATAGTTATGTTTATTCTTGACTTGACACAATTCATGTATAGAAATGTACTGTTTGAATAAAGGATTTTTTGATTTGATTTGATTTGATTATTTTCTTAAACTATTTGAAATCCATTATAAATTTCTATAACTAATATTCCTACTAGAGTAAGTTACTTTAATGAGGCCCTTTATAAAATCTAGTAGACTTTTAATTATAGATTTCATAACACTGTTCATCGGACCGTTTAAATTCAATGTAAGTTTCTTCCTGTACGTTAAAAGTTTAGTAGATTTTTAAGAATGAAAGTAAAATTTCGCATTTAAAAGCATTATACATATCATAATGTAGTCTTTTCTATTAAACCTGAAAAATATATGTTCTGTAAAGTCGTATCTTAGATTATTTATTGTTTTGTAAGATTATTTAAAAAATATATCCCCTGGTGAAGAATTTGGAATTGTAAAAATGAAAACAAAGGCTGGGATTAAAACAATGCAAGCGGGACATTCCTAAGTCCTGGTTGAATTCTTCAGATAACCTGTGAAATATCTAATGGCTGCTCAAGAAATAATACTTTAATTTATTTATTTACACGGCAAACGCAACTTGTTTAATAGACACATCAGTGTTAACAAGACTATTGTTGTGGATTTCTAAAAAAAATTAAAACTAATTTTTCTCTTTTTTGCAATAAAAGAAAATATATTTTGAATGAAATATATTTTAAACTAACTTTAAATATTATTTTCTTAGTTTCAACTATCTAAGTTGAGTTTTCGTATTATAACAAACAGTTGGAAATAGTATTATATAAAGTAGCTTGAAACGGCAAATCCAAAAATGTATTCCCAATATTTTTTAGTATGACAAAACTTATTATTATTTAAAATATTTTCTTTTTTTCCATTCCAGATTGCTTAGCATCATAGTTTTAACCTGGAAAATAAGTAGTTGAGTACAGAAATGTATTAGGAATAATAATACCGTGATGTTTAATTTATAATACTTGCTACGTAAAATTCAGTAGGCGAGGGAAAAAGTTGAAAAAAAAATACTTTAGAGTAACATTTAGATGGTAATATTACAAAAACCAGTGTGGGAAGGATGCAGTGTTTCACATAAAGCACACTTAGCTGTAATGTTTACCTTCACTTTCACTAATGATTCTATACACTTCGTCAGTTAATTACTTAAAGTTATAACGTGGCTTTGTCAAAGTGCTCCTCTCAAGTTTATCTACCTATTATTACCAACTTGTACAAACTCTAACAATTTCTCAAGGTAAAATATCCAAAAGCTTATTCAGTAGAACCTTGATAAGAAGACCCTTATGGGGATGATCAAATATGACTTGTTATCAAGGTTGACTCCCTATATAGGTTTGCAATAACATGCATTTAAGGGCAATATAAAATAATGGGTATTTGAAAATGAGAGTTGTTTTTACTTGTTATTGAGGGTCTTCTCATCAAGGTTGTACGGTAATGATTATATTAAACCAATATATAACTGTCATATATCCAACCACGCTTAGACCAGTGATTGTGTAGCTATGTTTACCCCATATTTTACTAAACACCACTTGAATTATACATTTCATTGTTGAAACTAATTTGATAGCCACAAAATTGTTCAAATTAATTCAACCATAGAGTATTCTGATGTCAAATGCCATGTTTCTGATATGCTATATTGTTATTATGCCTACCTGAAGTTAACTTAAAGTAAACCATTGGGAATGTTATGTCTCCTAATTTATCAATGCTGGAAATGAAAACTACATAAATAGTGACAAACTCAGTAAAAAAACTTTTTAATCTATACTCTGTTTAATGACCGGGTAAGATTATGTTGTAAATATTAGAATACTTCTAAAATCAATCTTGAATTCTCGTAGGTTTCTTTGGTGATAATTCATCAATTTTCTCGTCATCAAAACTTAATGACAAAAATAGTCATCTACGAGACAAAAAGTAAAATTTCATATTGGTTACATTCTTGGTATATAGATTTCAACTACAGATATATGCACAAAATAAATATACAATGAAACCAGATATACGAGCTAAAACAACTAGAACAAAATTTACATAGTGTCACGTTCTTCAACAGTTATAAATGTTATGCTTATGACATGCTTCCGGTATTATTATCAAAACATTTATTCGATAACATATTATTTTTTATAACAAACCTCATCTAAACTTCCTTCTGTCATTTCATATTCATATTCTCATTTTTCTTTGTATTTTAAATCGGATAACACTATTCACGAAAGGTTGATTTTGGTTCGTTTTATTGACTGTTTTTACTTTGACGGAAAATTCGATGGTTTACAATGTTTGAGGAAAATGGGAAATAAAATGTTACATGTATATTGAGTATATATACTGTAAAATCATTTTCGCTGCACTACTGTGAAATCACCTGTTTTCGTTATATTTGTATCCCCTACGAAAAGTCCTCATTACATTGCTTACTACGCGAAAAGAATGTTTATTGTGCAAAAGTAAAGTTTACTATTCTTTCCGACATAAACAAACATACGTCATTTGATATTGTTTCATCAGCTGTTTCAATTTTCAACAACCAAAACCGTACGATCAATGTAAAGGTTAACATTAAATAGAATGCATAACCTGAAAATTTAAACTTTTGATCCTAACTGCAATATAGAAATTATTCTAATGTCTACTTTTTATAGAAAATAATTAGGCTTTGTTTTGTAGCGAAATGTAACGTTCAAACTCGAGTGTAAGTGGATCTTTACATATTCTCTACCATATTTTAAGTACCTAAACTCTCGTACTTTAGACATGCAATGACTCACTTTCTATTCTTCTTATGAAATATACCATTTCGTCATAATGCAGGAAAAATGGGTGTTTCCAATACATTCTTTGTGAGTCTAAATTAGCTCTGTTTCCTCCTTGTTCGAAAAATAGTCAACTGGAGTCAGGGACATCAGGTATACATTCTTCTGCCAAAGAAAATAGTCCTGTTTGGAAAAATAATAGTTTTATATATATATATATATATATATAAATATATTTGTGGCCCTTTACAATAACATCTTTGCGAATCCACATTAAAAAACTGAAGGTCAACGACAAAGTTAACATCATTTTATTAAATAAAAAAAAAAATTACAAAATCTAACAGTACAATCTGGATACAAACAATATTTTGAGATTTTTTAAAATTATGTATAATATTTATAATATATCACATTGTATTGACATAGTTGTGAATAATTCTACTGACGTTAGTAATCAAACTAACAAAAATACCCACTAACATTTAACCTATGTACGTATTGATGTACAGTCATAATAATATCGCCAAAGTGTCAATAGATTGTTTCAGTGATCCTATTATTGGCTATGTTCAATAACAATGATTGAAACTATTGTTATAGAGATGAAATCATCGGGCTGATTGTTTTTCACTAAACAATGGCATTACGTTCCAACAAGTCATGATTGTTATCAAATTGTGTGATTCTAAAAGGTAGTCCGACATTTTTGATATCCGAAAT